ATCCAGTAGGATCCACAGAATCCGCCAGAATCCACTAGGATCCACAGAATCCGCCAGAATCCACTAGGATCCACAGAATCCGCCAGAATCCACTAGGATCCACAGAATCCACCAGAATCTACTAGGATCCATAGAATCCACCAGGATCCATGAGGAGCCGCGAGAATCCAAGGAGCCAGGAGCCGCTTTTTCCCCCTTGCCCGAAAGACTGAAAAAAACGACTTGAAAGTTGAAAGTTGAAAGTTGAAAGTTGAAAGTTGAAAGTTGAAAGTTGAAAGTTGAAAGTTGAAAGTTGAAGTTTCAGTTGATTCTGCGTTCAAGTTCGACACTACTGCAATGACCATACCCACACAGAAACCGCACTAGACAGTTATGCCTTCTTCCTGATAACATGTAACTCGAAATTCATGAATCAATCGAATTACAAAATTTATATTTAGGATAAATTTTAAACTTTATCTTTTGCTTGTGCGCAGTAGGTTTTTCGAAAATTTTCATTTATATTCGAACTCGAATTAGGCAGCTACTCGGCCGTAAAGGGTCAAAACTTTGGAAAATTCATTTGTCGTTGCCGATCATCAAAATTCACTATTTTGCGTCTTTTTCATTTAATTATTCAAGAAAAAGCATAAAAAATATATACGATACACCTACATAGTTTCTCCGCGATTCAAATCGACTTTTGTATGAAAAATTTGAGATACGTCGAACTCAAGGAGAAACTAGTTGTATTGCTTTTTGTGTTGGTGGGAATCAGGATAGGTATTCTTGTAGATCTTTTATTTCTCTACATCCGTGCCGATGCGTAAATTAAATATCCATTTCCATGCCAGCTATTGAGAACTACAATACTATCATGCTGGCTATTTTTTCATAGAAAATTCCAGTTAAAGCTAGGAAAAGCTATGTAAATGCATCACATATGTTTTGTATGCTTTGTTCTTGTATGAATAAATGAAAAACCGAAAAATAGCGAATAACGATGATTGAAAACGAACTATGATTTTTCAAAAATTTTGATCCCTCACGGCCGGGTGTTGCCATTTGGCGACAACCATACCTCTTATTGTCGGTACTCATTGAATCATCTCTTTGAATGATACAATATACAATAGATCAAATATGGGAGATTTACCACTAGTAACATGTGGGATTGAATGATTGAGGATACCATAAGGACATCTATTATGATTCAGTTGTTCTCTAGGAGTATTCAGGAGGACTCCGGTAATTTTCTCAGCTGAACGTTTTTGTTTTGTTCCATGGGCTATGAGTGTGTTCTAAAATATCTTGTATAGTAATTATTGAACTATTGATTCACTATCTATCCACAGTATAACTAGATCTTTCATAAAATATTGACACAATGTTGCCAAATGGTAACATCCGGCCGTAAACGGTTAACCAGGCATCTGTTGCTTGAGTATCTAAGGAGATCAAACTGTTTCAAAACCTTGTCTTCGATCAAAATCCTGATTTGTTTTTGAACAGTTTCATAGGCCATAGGAAGTATCAAGAAAGTCAAGATTTCTGTTAAACAATGCATTCAATAAGATGTTTTTATGAATAGAATTTTAGCTCTGCAATGTGATCGAGTTACGAGATATATGTATCCACAAAAAATCTAAATATGACAATTTCTTTGTATACGTCGCAATACTGATCTATTTATTCATATTTCATTTCATTTTACCTTATTTTTATATGAAAAGTGGATAAGCTTGAGATGTATGTTATGCTAAATATTTTGAGTTAAATGTATGTACTGTTGTTGAGAGATGCATGTAGACATATTCAAAAAAAGAATAGCTTTTTGCAGTTAGGTTCTCAAATATTTAAGCACCTTAACAACTAAACGATGTGTTCAAAAAATTTGTACCGTCATTTTTAAAATTAGTTTACTATACATATATGAAAATTAGCAAAGTCAAACAATCTCGATTGAAAACAAGTTCAGTCTTTGCTTATGTGAATGACCTATATACTCATTGACTCGGGCAAATATTTTGCATACAGCGAGTGAACGTTAAACAAGGAGATTTATCTGCCACTGTGCAAATAGAATTATTATTTCTCGTACATTAAACCCAATTCACGCTATAAAACAATGGGCTCATGGTAGAAATAAATAACAGGAAAACAAAAAACTGTTTGAAGTAGAATTAAACCTTTTACCATCATCGACTTAGCGTGTTCTTATTACATTTATTCTATATATTTTGAATTTTTCGATCAAACAAGCTCGTATCCTCGGTATCTGCAATGTATCGTTGGTATCCTCCAGACCGGGCGGATCGCCACCGTATCCTCTGGGTTGTGTGAATTGTCACCGTATCCCGGATGGATGGAATCCGCTTTTCCCCCCTTGATAATAGTACTCTATAGAACGAGCCTTTTACCCTGCAGTTAGTTATCATCACAATGTGTGATATACCTTGAAGTTTATTCCTGTTTAAAAAAATTCAAAAAATATGAATCTAATATTCGTTTCTTCTTCCAGATTGTTATTTTGATATTGAAAATAAATGTTTTTTTCACAATAAGAAGCTTTAAATCTACAAAACATATTTGACATTATGATCACAAAAATGATTCTTACTTAAGTATGTTCATGCTACAGATTTGGTCAGGATGACTTACACTCTATAGAGATGAAACCAACATGTCACTTAAAATCGCAATGCACTAGTCAACGTTACAACGCGTTTATTTTAGGCGTTTTTCTGCGATCATATCATCGCTGAGCTTATCAGAAGTCCAGCGTTGATCATTTCTGGTAACTTCTTCACCGATAAATTCAATGTTTATAAGAAACACTAAGATTTAGATTAACTTCTAGTGGAAGAAATCAACATGTTCATCTGCAGTTCTTTTTTATTTTCGAAAATGTCTGACGACAAATAAAATGCACTTTTTGAAAAGCTCAATTGTGTCGCAAAAATTAAGAAGAATTTTTTTTTTCTTTGATGGAATTCTTCTCGTCGTGCATCTCTCAAATTATCGAATACAACTGCTATGGTGAATACGCAGCTGCATAAGTAAAGCCTGTTAATTGAAGAGTTTTTGAAGATTTTTCATCCTTTTCTTCGCAAAGAAATGAACGTTGGAGAAACGCTCTTTCATCTCGCATATTCTCTCAGTCTTTTGAAAAAAGCAAGCATTAATTTGATATAAATAATAAATACTAAAAGAGAATTTTCAGCCATTCAAACAGCTATCATTGCTGTCTCTCTCTGTCACCACCCTCTTAGGTGTCTTTATATAGGACAGAAGATAGCATATGTAGCTATTTTTACTAGAATTTCGGCATATCGTCAAGAGCGTCTTCACATTTGAGAAAATTAACTCAAAACTCATTTTCCTACGACTGAGCTTACTACGAATCCTTTTCAACACAGAAAAAAATGTCGTCTCCAGCAGCCTACATGGCTACATTAGAATCAGTGACAACTTATTTCACTACTTGTGTTGGATTGTTTATAATTACTCTTGGCATGATTGGTAATATTCTTAATATCATCGTTTTCACCAGTCTTCAAACTTTCCGAAAAAATCCATGTGCTTTTTGTTTACTCACGCTGTCGATATCCGAAAGTGGCATGTTACTCTTTTTTGCACTACCAGATACTTTTGCAAATATCTTCAACTATCGTAGAGATGCGTATGTCACATTTCCATGCAAAATTCGCATGGCATTTCCTCAAACTTTTGGGATGATGACACATTTTATAATGTGCTATGCTGCTATTGATCAACGTTTATCAACATCAATGCCTGATCGTCATCATGGTATTAATATTAGAATTATGCGGCATTTAATTATGATTGCTATATTTATCTCTGTTTTACATAGCATTCCATTTTTTCTTTTCCATAATGAACAATTATTAGCGGGCACAAATGGAACAATATGTCGTTTTACAGATACTAATGGAGTTTTCTCAATATATGCAGTTTATATAAATTTACCTGTGATTCAAGGAATACTGCCTATCAGCATCATCAGCGTTTTTGGTCTGATTGCTTTACGCAACGTTCGTAATATGCACAAGAAGAAAGTACAAAGAATGCGGCTTCATCTAGAACAGCAGCTGACATCTATGGTTTTAACAAAAATGTTTAGTGCCTGCATTATTCTGATGCCATTTTTAATTTTTTATATTACTCGATATATAATATCAGCCAATACAAATAATACGATTTTTCAGCGGCAACTTTTTACCGTTTATCGATTCTTTATTATGCTGTTTTATTTAAACAGCGCGGTGAGTTTCTCGTATTTAATACCATCACATTGGATTTGTTTTATTGACTTTGTTTCTCACTTCAGGATAGCTTCTACATTTTTCTTGCATGTTCTCCTCGATTTCATCGACAATTGAAATTTGTGCTATTCCATAAATTTTTAAGGCGTTGGAACAAAAAAGGAAATATCAATCCAGTTCAAGGTGTGGAAGAAAGCTTTGCGGTTGGCATCATCAGCAACCTTGAACAAAAATAATATGCTCATATTGGAAACAATGAAAAACTCTCTATGTTGTAATATTGTTTAGTTCAGTAATTTCTCGTGATCGTAATTGCTCGGAAATATAATGTTTACATTATTCTCTAACTAAAATTGAACATCCGCCGTGTTGATGAATAGTATATGTATATTATAATGGCATGGATTTAGATGATCAGTAAGAAAAAAGATTATAAAATCTGTTGATTGAACGAATGATCAGTGATATATTAAAGTATCAGTAGACTACTTAAGTGATTAATTGTTAAATTAAAATGTTATGTAATAAAATTGTAATATCCGTTAGAAAATAGAGTAACATTCAATTAAATCAAAGAATAAGTAAGGGAGCCAAAAAGTAGAGTAGTCACAAGTTTGTTAATATGACTCTCGCCTAGACTGGCGACACTCCACCACATTCTGAATTATTCGAGTAGATGATATTGGATAATTCCACAAGAAAACAACCACGTATACAAAACAGGAAACCAATTCCGATGAAACTTTCAGGATTTGTAGAGCTTTTAATTCTAAGACCTTTGATAAAAAACTGTTCGTCAAAAAGTTTTAAACCTATGCAGATAGGCCCAAAATACTAACAGCAGTAAAAAGTCACAAAACTAAAAAGACTATTTTTTCAAGAATATTTTACATCTAGTTTTTTTTACAGATTTTTATACTAAATCAAGGCCGAAAATAAAAACCAAAATCATATTCAGAGTCCCCATGAAAAGGCGCATCTAACCATGCTTATCGTAGAGTCAATAATGAAAATAAAAGTGTCACAAAGATTCTGTGAATGAACAGCACTGACAGAAAAAAATGCGTTTTCAGCATTTTTGTTTTCACAATAACTTAAAAATGCCGAATTGCTGGTGACGGTGACATATCGCATTTCATAGAGCGTCACTTGCTCTACAACCATGATGATACAGAGTATCCAGCGTTTCAAAAGCGCACGAAATATCTGATGAATATTATGAAGTACTACTTTTTTCATCTTTTATCAATGAGTAAATTCATGAAATTTTCACTGCAGTTACATGATTAAAATTTATGAAGTGCGTTCGAATTAATGTATCTAGTAGAGGAAATATTTCTATATCTTCTGGTTGAAACCGTTTTGAGAAATATTGCTTTGTTCGTGAGATATTGGCATTTTTCTAAGGACACTATCTACGAGTAGTAAATCAGAAAGACATTCATATCACACGAAAGGAAAGTTATTTCGTCATCAAATTTGCACTATAGATGTATATCAAATTGATGTAGTTATGATAAAAAAATCAGTTCAATAAACTGAACTGGAGATAAATTCTTCAGTACTACTATATTTTTTGAAAAGTAGTCTTTTCCCGATATTTGATACACATGTAGTTATAAAAAAAGTAATTAAATATTGAGTTTTAATTTCGCCGAGGGTTTTCTGTTATTTATTTATTAAATTAATAAAGTAGTCTTCAGAGCTCTGTATTTCAATGTACGAACACAAGTAAAAACGTTTTTAGCGCAATCCCTGTGGGATTAAAATGTGAAGCATGATGAAGCTCCTTTGTTGGAACCCCTCTACCACGATCTTTGAGTCTTTGCAGCTTTTCTGCAACTCTCTGTGATCATATATATGGAGCCTTTCGGTCATGGCCTGTGATGATCTGTGGAGGTTCTCTATCACGGTCTGTATTATGATCTATGGAGTAGGTAGAGATCGCCACAGACCACGACAGAGAAATTAATTAGTTAGTTAGTTAAGCATTTAGCTAATTAGTTCATTTCTCTATCATTGTATGTGCGAGGAGGCGAAGGATGAATTCAAATTTCTACCCTATATACTTCAACACTCCTTTCAGATCGTGTTTCACAAAATTATAGATATAGGAAATATATACAACGAACTACAATGAATTAAAAAACAAATATCAAAAGAAATAAAGTGAAAAACAAAACTAAAACTAAAACGACACAGGCAAAGCAGAAAATCTGTAGGATGATGACAGTGCTGATGTGAAATAATGAATTTTCCTAATTGATCTGCGCTGTTGAATATAACATAATCGATCATTGAGGAAATAACTCGATTCGATTCGTGTGCAAAATGTAATTTCATAATTTCAGGTAATGATGGAATATCCATATATCATCATTGATTTGAGAGCCCATCAATTCATTTCTTTCTTGTGATGGATTTTTACCATTTAATATATATTAATTTCCTAAAATTATTTCTGGCCTCTTTGATTCAATATCTTTGCAACGTTTAATTGTACACTGTACAATAATTCATCGTCATTGAATTCGGTTATTTTATTATATAATGGTTGTATAAATATTGGGGAAGATTCGGCTCGTGTATAAAAAAAGTTCTTCATCATCGGATATCTTCTCACATGCACCCTTATTAATTGTTTTCGATGGTTCAGATGTTAGAATAGGATTTATTATATAGCATAATCTTTTAATATTGTTTGATAGTGTTTTTCGACTTTTTTACGATATTCACACTCAGAATCAGCTACATATTCGGGTATGTTGGTACCTAAATAGAAGTTGATATCACAGCCCCGTTCAACTAAAGTCGCGGCCTTATATGCTTAGATATTTTTGTAATACGAATTAGATTGCATTTTGTAATGATGTTTTGATGTGATACTCATATGCCTTTTGAATATCATTATCTTTAATTTGAATATGAGTCGTAAATAGATTAAATGACTGAAATTTATTAAGTTTTTCTAACGGTGCATCCCACGAATAAACAGCATTATCGAAAGTAAATATAATTAAGCATAATTGTTGGATCTTCGTAATTACTGATAATGATATTTGATTGATAAATTCAACTTGTAGCGTCGCTGGCTTTTGGCATAATGGATCATCTTCAGTATCCTTGGAAAAATGATTTCTTAATTTTGATTTACTAATCAATGTATCAATAGTAAAAATATCAGTTTCATTTTCATGAATAAAATAATGGGTATAATTTTGAGGGTGTTGAAATCATTTTTTATATTCCTCGTCAAAATTTTTCTTGGGAGTGTTGTTTGGTTTGTAATTTCTTCCTTTTTCATGCTTGATTTCTTTTGTATAATCTTTCATATGCTGAAAAATAAATATCCTTAAAAGTGTTGATGCATGAATTGATGGTAACATATGCTTATGTATAACAGGAAATGGTGAGGTTCTCATTTGAGGATGTGTCAAATGGCGTCTACTCCGTCATCTACGTAGGTTATATTAACGTTTGACGGGATACTAGTCTGTTCACTATTGCGAAACTCACAATGAATAGTCTATCATGGCTTGCACGATGTTGGGATGGGAATGACGTTGATCAATGATAGGATTCAATAATAATTTTATTGATCACAATCAATAATTAATAGAATATGTTGATAGGTGATGTAATAGGTAGAAAAGGATATCAAGATGAAGACGAAAAAAAGAGAAAACAACGGGATAAAAAATGTTAATCAGATGACAGCAAAACCGGAGAGAAAAAAGAAAAAATGCAATATGAAAAGGGCACGACGAAAAGGGGGTATCATAATATTATATGCTTAGTGACTGGGCAAGGTGTTCAAAAATTTAGCGTCATACGGTGATATGACATCTATTGGCGCTAACAGAAATCCTAAATCCATTTCCTCTTAAACTTTTATTTTCAATCGTAAACTAAAAGAAACCGAAAATGTAGGCACACATGAATGTCTAACTGTATAGATAGATTAAAGAAATGAAGTGAGAAAAGAATAGAGAGAGAGAAAAAGAAAGGGAGAAATCGATATCTATGAATACTACTAGAGATGAAAGGTTAAGTATGTCCAAAAAAAAAGAAAAAAAATAAGATATAGAGAAATGGAAGTAACACAACGTGATGACTTAAATAAGCATTAGGTTCAATTGTATTAAACGAAAGTTTGAATACAGCTAAATATACTCATGATGTTAAATCTTTTCTTTTAACAATAAGTGCATTGTCAAAATATCATGAAAAAACCTGTTAAAATTAAAATAAAAGATTTATCATCATGAGTATATTTAGCTGCATTAAAGAAACAATCTGAAGACTTGCACCTTATCTTATAAGTTACTGAAAGATACACACAAAGAGATTATTTATTAATCCTAGAGTATTTTCTTCTAAATTTAGAGAGAAATTTAGAATCGCAATTTTTATATAATGAAGCACATTTATTATAGATTATTCATTTTCATTTAAAATGCGAGTAAATTTTGAAAAGCATACATTTATTGATACATTGATGTACTTGTTCTTTGATAACTAATTGTTAAAGAATCCTTTTAACAGCCGTCGAAGAAGATGACTACTATTAATTTTCTTTTTTTAATATTTTAATGAAACGGTGGAGTATTTCTATTCTATTGTTCAAGCATGATATTCATGGAAACAATAGATGTTGCACTGTATAAATATATCAAAGCATATAATTCATGGAACTAGTTGCATCATCATGTAATAGCGTGCCATTTATTTTAGAATGTACTCCCTTTCATTAAGAATGTCGCCAAATCTATTTGCACGACAAGATCTCATATGATTATATGATACGTACTGCATCTGTGCAGTCCTAAAAATATGCCCGAGTAACTAAACTATACTTCTAAATTCCGATATCCTCAAATAAAATCTATGCGTGTGGGTCTTTATCGCTGTGTATGTGTGGGTTTATTTTTACTTTGATTAGTGTAACAGTTTAATTATAGCTTTAAAACTCGATCCATTCGTTTATCTGTTTATATTGTTTATAGACTTATCTCTATACGATTTGAATATTAGTTAGGTCAAAGGCAGCATGTGAGTATATATGAGAGATGGATCCAGTTGGAATGATTTAGAACCGATATACTTATGAAACATATTCAGAATAGTTTCAGAATAAGCAGTTTATACTCGAGGACAACTCTGATGCACGCTTGTATGGCAGACGACTAGGACACAACGTTGACAAAAACAATTCTTTGTAGTTCATTATTGTGAA